GGGTCCTCTGTATTTCTTGGGTCTGGATATTTGAATGCCTTTCTAGATTTGGAAAGTTTTCTTCCAGGATCTCATGGAATAGATGGTCAATGCCCTTTTGAGTCTCTTCACCTTCTGGGATATCAATTATCCAGATGCTTGGACGTTAGATGGTATCTAGTATTTCTTGTATATTATTTTCATTTTTTAGGGCAATTTTCTGTCTTTCTGGTGGATTTTTCTAGGCTAGTGATTCTATCTTCTATGTCTGAGATTCGATTTTTGGTATGGTCTAATTTGCTTTTAGTACTTTCAAAGGAGATTTTGACTTCCTCTATTATAGCCTTCATCTCTAACAGGTCCATCTGATTCTTTTTTTATAGTGTATATTTCCTCTTTTAGATCTTGCAAGAATTCACTCACCTCCTGGAACTCATCAGCTTCTTTTTCCTGCCTCTTCTGCAGTTCATTGTCTCTCTTCTCTTCCATCTTATTTTTTTTTTTTGCTTTGTCACTATGAATATTCTAAATTCTTTCTCAGACATTTCCATGATTTTCATTGAACTGTCTGTGGATTAAGAGGAGCTATTCATTTCCCTTGGAGGAGAGGTATTTTCTTGCTTTCCCATATTTCTTGTGTCCTTGCAGTGATTTCTAGTCATCTGATGGATGGTGCAGTTCATCTAATTCTTGAAGTTCATTCTGAGCGTTCAGGAGCGTGCAGAAGGAGGTGATCTGGAATCTCTTTGCTCTTTCATTTTTATCCCTTTGTGCAGCAGATTCAGTGGATATTGAGGAATATATTAACTCTAATAGTATTTGGATGTTTAGCTATGGTTCCCTTAGATCTGTCTAGAAACACAGTAAATGGAGATTGAGGAGCAAAGTGATGAGATAAAAGGAAAAGAATAGGAAAACAGGGAGAGAGAGAGAGAAAGAGAAAAAAAAAGAGAGAGAGAGACAGAGAGGAGCGAGAGAGAGAGAGAAAACAAAATTTATTCTTTTAATAAGCAAGTAACAAAAAACCATGTGGTGTGAAATGACTAGTTTTCAGCAGCAATGAAGGCCTGCTTCTTGCCTCTCCTGGAGGGGTAGGGGAGATGGGATTATTAGCAAGATAAAGGAAGATATGAAAGCCAAGAGAATAATTTACCTTAAAAATTTTTAAAAAGAAAAAAATTACTAAAAAATGAAAAGACAGAGAGAGAGAGAGGTAGAGAGAGACAGAAGAAACAGAGAAGGCTAGAGGGGCACCTTACCATTGGAGTTTGGGGGCTGGAGTCTGGACTATCAGTATAAAATCTCCATTTCTCTTTTTTCCCTGAAATGATTAGTTCTTAGCAGCAATGGAGGAGTCTTCTTTCCTGGTCTCACTTTTTTATATCATTAAAAAAGGAATTATTTATTTATTTAATTCCATTTGTTATTGTTTTTTTATTTGGCCAGACAGAGAGAGAGATAGAAAGGGAAAGGGAGAAAACAAGTCACCTGGTCTGAGACTTGAACCCATGTGGGAATCCAGTGCCCTCAACCACTATTCCATCTGCCAGACTCCCTTTGTACCATTTTTAATTTGTTTTCAAAGTGTTTCATAGTTTTCCTTGTAGAGGTCTTTGACGTCTTTGATTAACTTTATTCCTAGATATCATATTGTTTTTGTAGCTATATAAATAGGGTTGCTTTCTTCAATTCTATCTCAGTTTGTTCATTGTTGGCATATAAAATGCTATAGGTTTTTGTATGTTGACTTTGTATCCTGGCAGTTTACTGTATGCATTTATCAGTCTCAGGAGTTATTTTGTGGATTGTGTTGGATTTTCTATGTATAGAATCATATCATCTGCAAATAGAGATGACTTCCTTTTTTTTCCCTGTTTGAATGCCTTTTATTTGACTCTCTTGTCTGATAGCATTCATTAGAAATTCCAGTACTATGTTGAATAGGAGCAGAGAAAGTGGGTAGCCTTTACTTGTTCTAGTATTTTGTGGAAAAGCTTTTAGTTTTTTTCCCATTTAGTATGATGTTAGTTATGAGTTTATCATAGATAGCTTTAACTGTGTTGAGAAATGTCCCTTCTATGCTGATTTTGCTGAGTCTTGATCATTAAGGGATGTCGTATTTTACCAAATGCTTTTTTAGCATCAATTAATATGATCATATGGTTTTGTCTTTCCTTCTGTTAATGTGATGCATTACATTTATTGTTTTGCTTATGTTGAACTATTCTTATATCTCTGGAATAAAGCCTACCTAGTCATCATGTATAATATTTTTAATGTGTTTATACAATTTGCTTGTACCTTGTTGAGAAATTCCACATCTATAATAATCAGGGATACTGAACTGATGATTTTGTTTTTTGTTACGTGTTTGTCTGTTTTTGAAATCAGGATGATGGAGACTTCATAGAATGGATTTGGGAGCATTCATTCCTTTGTATTTTTCAAAATAATTTGAGAAGAATTGGGGTTAGTTCTTTTTTAAAAGTTTTGTAGTATTCAGAGTAAGATCATCAGGACCTGAGGTTTTCTCTGTTGGGAGACTGTTGATTACGAACTCAACTTCATGACTTGTTAAGGGTCTATTCAGGCTTTCTATTTCTTGGTTCAATCTAAGTAAGTCAAATTCGTCCAGAAATTTGTCAATCACCTCTGGGTTTTCTTGTTTGTTGGCATATAATCACTCATGGTATTCTATGATGATACTTTGTATTTCTGTTATGTCCGTTGTAATATTGCCTATTTCCTTGCTTATTTGTTTTATTGGTCCCTTTCTCTGTTCTTGATTCATGTGCCTAACAGTGTATTGGTTTTGTTTATCTTCTTTTTTTTTTAATTACATAAATTAACCCATTTACTGTAGGCTAGTGATATTCCAAAGGTCTACGGAACTTCTACTGGTCTTTCAATTCCTTCAGTCTTCTGATGGCAGACTCTACTGTGACAGCCAAAGTGGTGTTGTAGGTCCAGCCACCGCCAGCTACCGTTTTCATGCAGGAACCACAGTGCCAGATCCTCACAGCCCGTCTCTTCATCTTAGTTTTGCCACAGAAGGAGCAGGTGTACTTGGCATGCTGGCTGATTTCAATTTTCTTCACCATTTCCCAGAGGGAGGCACCATAGCGGGTCCTGTATTTACCAACGATGCCGACCTTCTTGGTGCATTTAGCCATACCACTGCCAACTAGGTCAGAGCCAGTTTTGTTTATCTTCTTAATGAATCAGTTTTTTCCATTTATTTTGTGTATAGTTCTTTTATTCTGCATTTCATTGATTTTTGCTTGAACCCTTATTATTTGTTTTCTCCTGAAAAAGATGTTTTCCATTTCCCTGAGTTGTGTTGTGTAGTCGTTTATTTGCTAACTTTTTTTTTTCTTGTGGACACTAATTGATATGAACCTCCCTCTTATGACAGCCTTTACTGTCCCATAGGTTATAAACACTTGTTTGTTCATTGTTATTGGTTTCTATGAACTTTTTGATTTCAGACTTAATTTCTTCAGTAGTTGTAAAGTCCCACTAAGGAGTAGGTTGTTTAGTTTTCATGTATTTGCGTATTTTCAAGGGCTCTTTCTGTAGTTTATTTCAAGTTTGATTCCATTGTGGCTTGAAAAGCTGCTGGATAGTTTCTATACATATGAATTTGTAAAGGCTTGCTTTGTGCCCTGTCATGTGGTCAATCTTCAAAAATGTTTCATATGGGGGGGTGAGAAAAATGTATATTTTGTGATTACTGAATAAAAGATTCTATAGATGTCTGTCAAGTCAATTTAATTTATGGTATCATTTAGATCTTGTATCTTTTTATTGTTTTTTTTTTTCTAGATGATTTTTCCAGAGGAGACAGTGTGGTGTTGAGATCCCTGATGATTATTGTGTTGCAGTCTATGTCTCCCTTGAAATCTAACAGTCTTTATTTGGGTTCTCCATTGTTGGGTGTGCTGATGTTTAAAAGCATTATATCTTCCTGGTGAACATGTACTTTTAGTACTATATAAAGTCCATCTTTGTCTCTTCTTACATCTTTTCTCTTAAAGTATATTTTGTCTGATATCAGTATTGGAACTCCAGCCTTTTTTTGGTTTCCATTTACATGGAATATTTTTCTCCAGCCCTTCACTTTTAGTCTATGTATGTCTTTATCAATGAGATCTGGCTCCTGTCTCCAAGCGGGTGGGTTGAGCCTGAGCCCAGGCAGCAGGAAGCACTGGGTGGATGTAGATGAAGTGGTGTAAGTTCCAAAGATAATGATGGGAGGTGAGGGTGCACTCACCAAAAGAGGCCTACTGATACCAAGCCCAAGTGTCCTGGTCCAGGTGTGTTTCTTTTAAGAGTGTATTGAGGGATCCTGTTGTTTTTAATTCATTCAGCCAGCCTGCATCTTTTAATTGGAGAGTTTAACCATTAACATTCAACATTATTTTAATTATTTGCAGACTTATCCCTGCGATTTTGTTAGCGGTTTTCTCATTGTTTTTGTTCTCCTATTTCTGTTTGTCTCTCTTTAGTTTTCCTGATATAGTACTTCCTTTAGTACTTCTGGAAGAGCTGGTCTAGTTGGTGATTTAATTTAGGTTTTGTTTATCTGAGAATGATTTATTTGTTCTTTTTATTTGAAGGATAATCTTGCCAGGTATAGTATTCTTGGTTGAATTTATTTTTGATCTTCTGAATATGTCCTCCCATTCTTTCCTTGCCTGCATCGTTTCAGTTGATAGGTCTGATATTAGCCTAAATGGATACCCTGTGTAAGCAACTGGACATTTCTCTTTTGCCATTTTTAGAATCTGTCATTGACTTTGATTTCTATCAATCTTGCTATGATATGCTGTGAGGAAGATATTTTTATGTTGGTTCTATTTTCTATTGAGAATTCTTTTTATTTATTGGGTTGGAATTTTTCCATGTGTCTCTAGAGTTGGTGTGGTTTGGTCTATGGTCTATGTTGGAGACTTTGTCTTCAGGTCTGAAATTCTATCTTATGCATGGTCTAATCTGGTGTTAATGCTTTCAAGGGAGATTTTAATTTAATGCTTTCAAGGAAGATTTTAATTTCTGTACCATATTCTCCATTTCCAGAAGTTGCATTTGATTACTTTATAGGGTTCTGTATCTTTATAGAATTTCCATTTCATGCCCTGGAATTATTTTCTCATTTCCTGAAATTGACTATTTTCTCACTTATGACATTGAGTTTTGTGACAATAAGTGTTTAGACTTCTTTTTCTAACGTTTCTGTGTATTTTTTTGGCTATCTATTTTTGGTGTGGAGTCATTGTATTCCCTAAGAGGAGAGCTATTTCCTGGCTATCTAATGTTTATTCTGTCTCTGCACTTATTTTTGGTTATCTGATGCAGTATTCACTTCTTCCTATTTATTGTAGTAGATTCTGTACTGTCAGAGGAGGGAAGACCAGCCCTAGATCCCAGGTGTGTGTGTGTGTGTGTGTGTGTTTTAGAATTGTTTACTTAATTTAATTATTAATTTAATTTGACCAGAGAGACAGAAAAAAAGAGAGAGGGGTGGAGTCACAAACTAAGCTGCCAGGTTTGGGACTCTAACCATAGTCAGCCATATGGGAGTCAAGTACCTTAACCACCATGACACCTGCTGGACCCCCAAGGTGTGTTTCTTAGAGGGCTGACTTTTTCAGACCAGAAGATGTTAAAATTTATTTAGGTAGCTTCAGGTGGTTGGGTCTTCTTCCTAATCTTTAGCTCCTGATGGGCTGGGATGAGCTAAGGAGATAGGACTTGGTGAAGAATCTAAAGTCCTGAACACATGATCTGGAGGTTCCCAGGTTATGAAGGCAAGCCTGAAGAGGTTGGGATGCTCCCAGAAAGACTCAAGCTTGCACAAGAACTCAAATTCTTGGCAGGCAGGACTCAGGAAGTGGGTGACTTGGCCTGGTTGGGGGGGTGGGGGGCAGTTTAGGTTCCAAAGGCAAATGCGCTGTGTTTTGAATGTGTCCAATAATATTTGTATCTTCACTGTAACTCAGCATCCTGGCAGATGGGGCTCAGGAAGCAGGAGGCCTGGTGGGAGACCTGGTATGGCTGGGTGGGGGAATCCTGGGTTCCAAAGACAAAATTGCAGGGATTGGGGTGCACCTGACAAGACTTCTGATATTACCAGAACTTCTCCTTAAACTATTTCTAAAGATCTAAAAGGAAGGAACCTTTCCAAATTCATTAAATGAAACCTCCATCCTCTTGAATTCAAAATTACACAAAGATATAACTAAAAAGGAAAAGTAAAGATTCAGATGCCTGATGAACACAGACAGAAAAAATTATCAAAAAGATACTAACAAATCATATCCAACAACACATTAAAAAAAAGTATACACCCTGCCAGGTAGGCCTTATCCCAGGGATGCAACAGTAGTTTAACATATGCAAAACAATAAATGTAATACATCACATTAGTAGAAGGAAATATAAAAACCATATGCTCATATCAATTGATGCAGAAAAAGCATTTGGTAAAATACATCCCTTCATGATCAAGACTGTCAGTAAAATCAGCATAAAAGGGATGTTTCTCAACACAGTAAAAACCATATAGAACAGATCCATAGTCAATATAAATGGGGAAAATGGAGAATAGGGAAAAGCTGGGGAAACTTTTCCACTAAAAACTGGTACAAGACACGGCTGCTTACTTTTCCCACTCCTGTTCAGCATAGTACTGGAAGTCCTAGCCAATGCAATCAGAAAAGAGTGCAAAATAAAAGACATTCCAATAGTAAAATAAAAAAAATAAATAAAATTATCTCTATTTACAGATGAAATGATTATATACATAGAAATCCCAACATATCAAAAAAAAAAAAACTTCCTAGAAGTGATAAATGAATACAGTAAAGTGGTAGGATACAAAATCAACCTACAAAAGTATATACCATTTTAATACATCAACAATGAGCAAACTGAGGGAAAGTTGAATAGAGCAATCACATTTACAATAGTCCCTCAAAATATAAAATATATAGGAATAAATCAAACCAAAGAAGTCAAAGACCTCTACAAGGAAAATTATGAAGCACTTAAAAAGGAAATGGAAAATGATACCAAAAAGTAGAAAGACAATCCATGTTCCTGGATTGGAAGAATAAATATAATCAAAATGTCAATCCTACCTGAATTGATCTACAAATTTGATGCAATTATGATCAATCTACCAGAGAAATTCCTCACAGAAACAGAAAACATATAATTTATTGGAATTATAAAAGTTCCTGTATTGCCAAAGCAATATTATGCAAAAAGAATAAATTAGGAGACATCTCACTCCCTGACCTCAAAATATATTACAAAGCTATGATAATCAAAGCAGTGTGACATTGGTACAAATATTGGCAGGTAGACCAATGGAACTGAATTGGGAAGGCAGAAATAAACCTCAAAACATTTATCAAGCAATTTTCAACAAAGGGCACAAGACAACCCAGTGGGAGAAAGAAAGCCTCTTCAGCAAATGGTGATGGAAAAACTGGATAGCCTCCTGCAGAAAAATAAAATTGGACTTCTATCTCTCACCATTAACAAAAATAAACTCAAAATGGATTAAGGATCTAAACATAAAACTACAATCTATAAAACTAGGGCACATGTGTTCATCAGAGAGAGAGAAATAGAGTAGGAGAGGGAAAGTGAGAAAACAAGGCACCACATCTGGGACTTGAACCACAATTGGCCATATGGGAGTCCAGCACCTTGATAACTATTCCACCTTCCAGACCTGGCAAAGACTTTTTTAGAAAAGACCGTCAAAGCACAGGCAATAATCCCGAAAATAGAAAAATGGGACTACATCAGGCTAAAATGCTTCTATATGGCATAAGAAAGAATATTTAGAGTGAAGAGACAACCTTAGAATGAGAGAATATATTTGAAAACCATGCCTCAGATAAGGCATTGGTAACTAGAATATACAGGGAACTGAAACATGTTACCTACACACACACACACACACACACACACACACACACACACAATAATCCAAATAAAAAATTGGCAAATGAGCTGAACAGACAACTCTCCAAGGAAGACATATGAATGGCCAAAAGTATATGAAAACATGCTCATCATCTCTTAACATAAGGTAAATGCACATCAAAACCACAATGAGAGACCACCTAACCCCAGTCAGAATGGCTAAGATTTTATATATATATAGGTGCTGGCAAGGCTGT